GAAGTTATCACTATTCGGGTCCTGTTGTCACTTGCACTAAATCTGGATCGGTCTTTGTTCCAATTAGATGTCAAAAATGCATTCTTGAATGAAGAGCTTACAGAAGAGGTGCACATTGCTCTCCCGCCTGGCTTTGACTCTACTACCTTCAGAGGACAAGTATGCAGACTACGAAAGTCCCTCTAAGGGCTAAAACAGCCCTAAGGGCCTAGTTTGACAAGTTCGAAAAAATGTTTGTGGGTCATGGTTTTACTTAGGTTCAATCGGATCACACTCTCTTCTTTCAACATTCCTCCAATGACCAGTTAGTTATTCTTGTTGTCTATGTTGATGATATTGTTCTTACAGGTGACGATCCTCTTGTATTGGAGTCCTTAAAAGAAATTTTTGCTGCATCCTTTGAAATGATGGAGTTGGGATCTCTCCGGCACTTTTTAGCATGAAAGTGGCTCGGTTTTCTAGGGGCATTTTCCTGTCTCAATGCAAATACGTGATTGATCTCTTAATAGAGAACAATCTTCTTTTATACAAACCCATTGCTGTCCTTATGGATTCCAATAAAAAATTAGTTGACATTCCCAATGCAGTGTCTATCAACAAGACTTATTGTCAGTGCCTTGTGGGAAAAATCATCTACGTCACTCATACTCGTCCCGACATATGTCATGTAGTTGGTATGGTGATTCAATTCATGTATGATCTTTATGAACATCATCTCCAAGCTGTCCACCAGATTCTCCATTATTTAAAAGGCATCATCTCCAAGCTGTCCACCGGATTCTCCATTATTTAAAAGGAACACCAGGCTCATGTTTGTTTTTCTTGCTTCACTCCTCGCGGGCTATTGTTGCTTATACAAATGCTGATTGGGCCAGATCAGTTCATGATCAACGTTCCACTTCGGGGTATTGTTCATTTATATAAGCAATCTTGTCATATGGAAAAACAAAAAAAAAAACAGTCTGTTGTTGTTCGATGCAGTGCTGAAGCTGAATTCCGATCCATGTTCTTGAGAATTTGTGAAGCTCTCTGGTTCCGCATCATACTCCGCAAACTTCGTGTGCCAACCTCCGTCCCTCTGCAACTATTCTGTGATAATAAGGTCGAAATCAACATTGCTCACAATCTAGTCTAACGTGATCGTACCAAATATGTGGAGATTGACAGACACTTCATTAAGGAAAAAATTGAGTCTGAGGAAATCTGTGTTCTTTTTGTGCTCTCTAGTAGTCAACAAGCAGACATTCTCATCAAGAATCTTTCTCTTTTATTTATTCAATGACTTGAAATCCAAGTCGGACATGACTGACATCTATACTTCAACTAAAGGGGGTTATTGAATTTATTACTTATTATTAGCTTTTATTATCTCTTTATTTTATCATTAATTCATTTCTATTTATTTTATTTTAATTAATTTTTTTCTTTTATTGTATTCCACTGTAATTAGGTTTAAATACCCCTTTTATCAATTATATGTGTTGTTCTATTCCAAATCTCAAGAGTATACAAGAGGACATTTTTGGGAGTCAACATATCCAAAATTTGGCTCACTTTTGTGCTTGGTTACATGAGAGGACTCAACGACTAGTTTTAATGGACTGGGCTTTAGGTGCGGCTTTAATGGCATTCAGCTAAGTTGGAGGTCCCAATTCTACATACTAAAAAGCTCCAGAGATCCAAATGCAGGATTTTAAAAATGTGGGTCCAAAGTAAAGTGCACCCTAAACCTAGGGGAGCTGGAAGTGATTCTAGTTTTTTTCTTCGTTTGTGATGGTTTTGCATTGTAAATGTCACACATGCCTCAGATATAGGTTTTTGAGTCCAGTGAGTATATTTTTTCATCAATTTCTTGCTTCACAGAGTTTCTTTTTGAGTTGATCAGGGGCATAAAACAAAATCTCCTATCTTCTAATTTGCTGCTCTTTATAGTTGTTGAATCTGCTCCTTGTTGAAGCAAATCATGCTTTACTACCAAATTTTAACTTATGAAATGTTAGTGCTGCTTGCCCTTTGGAGCTGATATTGTGATTCTTATGCGGTAGTATTTCCTCATTATTTTTTTTTTCTCCAATGAGTTTGTTATTAGTTGCTCGGTTTCTAAATTTCGTTCCACACATTTTATATTTTAATGCTTTCCATTTGCTTTTCTAATAATTAATTATCTTGCGATCCTTCTCCCAGCAGGAGGGTCCCACACATCCTCTAGTGCCATAAGCATTCCCGAAGAAAATGGAAATACAAATGAGTTTAACAAGGCTCAAAGTTCGCACTTGTTCCTCAAATCCTGTTCTAAGGTGGAACTCGTTCATGCAACTGCTGAGAAAGAGAAGAAACAACTTAGTTGCTCAAAATTTAAGATTGGAGATGAATTATCAAAATCAATTGGCAAATGCAAGAAACAGGACTTTAAAAAGCACACTTCAAATCATTTAGCTTACACCTGCAGCCAAACTTCCAAGCAACCCAGAAAGGATGAGCATCCTGTTCGGCTTTCTACTGCAGATGCCTCTCTGGAACATGCAAGCACTTGGACCTGTAAGAATTCAGCTTGTAAGGCTATTCTTAGTTCGGAGGATATATTCTGTAAGAGGTGTTCATGTTGTATTTGCCACCTCTTTGATGACAACAAAGACCCCAGTCTTTGGCTGGTTTGCGCATCTGAATCAGGTGGTGGAGATTGGTGCGGTTTGTCTTGCCACATAGAGTGTGCACTTCAATGCCAGAAGGCTGGGGTTGTTGATCTTGGGCAATCCATGCAGCTTGATGGAAGTTATTGCTGTGCTTCTTGTGGAAAGGTTTCTGGCATAATAGGGTATGTATGTTTTTCAATTTATGAATCGATAAGTTTATCTAGATGTTGCCTCGGAAGGTTTTTATTTTTGGGAAATCTACATACCTAGAACACAATTCTTATATAGGTACATATCTCACACCTACACTATCATATTTACATGCATAACACTTTGGTATTTTAAACCTATGCATGAAAATGTTGTGAAAATGTATATTTCACTTTTTAAAACTGGCAATAGTGCTATTTTTTATGTTATACTAAAAAATTGAGTGCTATGTGTGTAAAAATGAAAGATTAGGCATTGAGATATGTAAATACATAAGAACTCTGTGCTATGTATGTAAATGCCTTCTGTTTTTTTGACTAACTTGAAATTGCATCTTCAATGGCATTGGGCAAGTACTTCTAATTGCCTGTGAATTAAAACACAGATTTTAACAAAATGCCACGTAAAATTACTGTGAGAACTTTTGTCCCATATGCCACTCCTGATGGACTGGTGTGGAACGCATTAATTGATGATTTGAGTGAAAATTTTGATTGAGGGAAGATAATATGAACTCAACCAAAAAGCAAGGGTGATAATTCACGCGAGCTTGAAGAAAGACATGTAAAAATGTGAGCTTCCTTCCAAGTTCGCGATTGAAAAAATCACAATAAGATGGTTTGTTAATGTTGAAGCACTTGACCTTACACTTCATTCAGCTTCCTTCCAAGTTTGCGATTGAAAAAATCACAATAAGATGGCTTGTTAATGTTGAAGCACTTGACCTTACACTTCATTTGACATTGGGGGAAGAGTCTTGATCTTTTTGGTCTATGGATCTTTCAAATTGTTCTAACAAAGGTTCCCAATTTGTGATTACTGAGAGAGGTATAGAGAATCAAATTCTAGGGAATCTAGCTTAATTAAAAAAAAAAAGGAAATGTCGAAAGATCTTTACAATGAAAACTTGTTTTCCGTACTTTGATTTGCTATGGCCTACAAAATTTCTTTTTTTTTGGTGTGAAGTGTGAAGTGTGAAGTGTGAAGCAATCAAACTATTAAACGGAAGATTAAGAACAAAACATGGAATGATACTCCCACCAAGTGTGCCTTATAAGCTCACAAGCACTTCACAAGAATAATTCAAATGGAAAGTCATAAAGGACTCAAGAGGAGCGCAAGCTTGTTGGGATAGTTGGATGCTCTGGTTGAAAAAAATACATTTAATGAAAATAATCTGAATGCACACATATTCAAAGTTTTAACCTTGTAAGGATTAATTTGTAAATTTAAATTAATGAGGGATTTAATCGCAAAATTATAACTTAAATTTCAATTAATGAGGGATTTAATTGCAATCTTATAACTTAGATTTTAAAGTACAAGGACTGAATATGGATTTGTAAATTTAAATTAAATGAGAGATTAATTTGTAAATTTAAATTAATGAGGGATTTAATCACAAAATTATAACTTAGATTTTAAATTATAAGGACTGAATATGGATTCATGCGACCCCATTTAGTGGGATAAAGGCTTTTTGTTGTTATTTTTGTAAGGATTGACAATGGAATGAGGAGAGAGAAATTGGAGAGAATCAAGAAATTTGTCAAAATTATATAATCCACATCATGGATCATGTTATTCAGTTTATTGTTTTAGTAAATTTCTTAATAGCTTATTTTGATAACAGTCATATCTATAGCCAAACTAGAGATGGCATTTGGTACATCTTAGGAAGGTCTTTTAAAAGTTGCAATTTGAAAACTTGTGTATAAATTTGAAGATAGGTTAACTTTGTCATTTATCATATTATTGGTTCATTGTGTGTTGTGTCCACTAATCAATTATTCATTGATCTCAATAAAGTTGAAGAGATTAACTATTGGTTAACACCTTCTAACTCTAGAAGATTTGAGTCCCTTTAAAAGATGCGATTATAAAGCTTTAGAGTGTGGCATATGGGCAATAGAACTCTCAAAGAATATTCCTCAGGTCTCATTGACCAACTCTGCCAATGCCTTAAATACCTATAGTTGCATATTCAGCATGGAGACATGACGTCTAGGCTGTATTCCCGATAGAGCACTTAGGGGTTAAGAGCTCAAATTTCTGGACTAACAATTGTCATATTCAGAGTTTATTAAGGGGTTTAGTGTTTATTATGATTCTAATTACAAATTGCCCTAAAGAAGGGATATTGTTTAGTTTATTTTTAAAGACATGATTTATGATTCTAATTACAAATTGCCCTAAAGAAGGGATAATTATAATGGAAAAAAATCTGCCGAGTGTGCTTAGGCTTGCTAATACACGTATGCTTAGTGATTTAGTTTTGATGAATTTTGTGATGTTTAATGTGATTTTTCTAATGAAGGAATTGGTGCGGGTTTGGGTTGACATGTATGTCTAATTGCCTATTTTAATAAGAAATTAAATCAGACTAAAAAAATATTTTCATTATAATATAGAATTGTTTGTTGGTGCCCTTGGAAATTCTATCTTTTTGCATGCCTTCAAATATTTAAATTCTCAAAAAATTTTTAATTCAGGCATGATAAATGAGTTAAATTTTATAAGAATATACATTTGTTTACTTTGTTGGAATTAAAATTAAATCTATTGATGCTTCAAGTATAGCTGCTGTTATTTCACACACTATATTGGTGTTGGTGGCAACTTTGATCATAATAAAGAATACTGGCAAATATAAGGATTTCAATGAATTATATCTTAATTTAACTTGTGACTTGTTTTTCCTTGAGAATTTTATCGTTACCGATGACCTTTTTTAGGGGAACTACACTTTACATTTGTGACTCATCCTTGATAGACTTTTTTGTCTCTTGTGGGTGGTGTAACATTCTATTTTGGCTGTGATAAAACTATTGTTATGACCGAGGATAGATTTTACTGGTCAAGATTAGAAGGAGATGTTAAACTTGTAGATTCAAATTTTTGGTGGATGTTTATATGAACTATGTTTAGGATTATCACGAATCTAAGGAATAATGATTTTGTCTTTTATTTATTGATTGCTTCTAAAAATGCTTCATTGCATTATAATAGAACCCAAAGTAATTTTATTGATGCCAAGAGGGGTATAAATACCCATTATAGGATCTACTAGTAAGGAAAGAAATAAAATTGAATAAAGGGAAAAAAAGGAAAGTAAATAAAAGTAAATTAAAATTATTAATATAAAATTATTAATACAAAAATATGCTTATTAATATTCTAATATTCTAATATTCTCCCTCAATTTGAAGCATGAAATTCAGTCATATTCACTTTGGATTTGAAATCGTCAAATAATGGCTGTGCAAGGTTCTTTATGAGAATATTTGCTAACTGACCACTAGATGACACAAATGGAACACAAATTT